GAAGGAAGGAAGGAAGGAAGGAAGGAAGGAAGGAAGGAAGGAAGGAAGGGATAAATCATTTATGAACTAGGAATGTCCAATAATATGAGCAGATGGAAGTAAGAAATTACCACATCTTCTTAGTTACCCTCCTATAAATTTTCCCTAGATGACTTCCCAAGGTCCCTTCCAGCTCTAATTTTATGATCCCATGATTAAATAGTAACTAAACTCCTCTTACAATAGTGTGTTTTCAAAATTAGTATGTTTTGCAATAGTATGTTTTCAAAATTAAGGTACACATGTAGCACCTGGACATAATATTACCTGAATGGGATAATATTTCCTATCAATAAAAAAAATAAAATTAATGTAACTGACTTCTTAATAAATAGATGAGGACTTCTGCATCCAAATAGTGGTCTCTCCTTCAAGGCATGGCATTTGGGGGACTACATATTTATTCCAGTGATGCTAGTCTTACCCAAAATGTTTCTGGAATGACTTTCAGAATTGCCTTCAGAACCTAGAAACATCTTCTGATAAGTCTCAATAATGGCAAATCATTCTTATTTTAGGGTGGATTTTGACCTTGGGGAATGATTAAAAGTCATTTGGAATCAAATCTTTTTAATGTGGGTTCTGGTCAGGGGTATGATGGTAACTGTTGAACAACTATGCTCTGTGTGGAGGATAGGGGAAGAAAGTAATACACACACACACTTTTCAGTTTAATGTGCATTATTAAGGCTTTTTCTAAGTCTAGACAATCAACAAAATAATATATCAAGTCCTGCTTTGAAGTAGTGTAAATGCCATTAGAGTTGGCTCTAATACGTATTATGTAGTCAAGTTGGATGATATGGTTTTCAATCAAAAATAAGGTGTGACTTTAAAGTATGGAGATGACTCTGTGGCTTGTAAACTATCTCTCACAGAAATTTTGGCTATGGCAGTATCACTAGAATATGTGCTAAACTATGTAAAAGGAATGTTTTGAATACTCACTTAAATGTACAAGGTCTGATAGGATATTTTTTCATTTTTTTAAATCATGCTCATTATTTTATACCCATATTTCGTATGTAGGGACAGGCCCTTCTTAAGCGGCCCCTGTGGGAGCAGGCTATAAACCAGGGATCTCTAAACTATCAGAGCTATATTTCCATTAAAATCTGTACAAATATAAATCCAGCTGCTAGACACAGCACGGTATCTACCACACTAAAATTGAGTATTAAAATGGTCATTGTGTGAGACATCAAAGGCAATATATCTAAGGCAGAATGGCCTGCCTCCTGACCCCTGATCCCTCCCCCCACCCACCAACCTCTGAGGTTGTAGAAGTGATGCCCCAGTGGCTGAGAGGACCATTTACTACACTTTCATCTTACAGTGTAGTCAAGAAAGTGACATGAAGGTTGAAAAGGAGCCCATCTCTTCTACACACACTACAGTAAAAAAAAAACCTAAAGCTAATACTAAGGGTAAGTTCTTCCATCTAGTCAAGAACTGAACAAAAATATGCCCTGAATCTAATTGAGGAGAATTCCCATCAGGGAAACCAGTGCAAGCCATGGTAAACAGATGGGAAGGTTTTGAGCACTGAAAAAGGAGTTCCACTAGAGAAAATATGAGTAAAGACAAGAAAACACCAAACAAAATGAAGATATATTATGGAATAAAAGATACCAAAAAGATAATCTCTGATGAAAAACTCAACAACAAACATAAACAGAATTACAGAGAAAAAAAATGGCTTGGCCATAAGAATTACAAGAATGACTAGAAGAAATCAAGGAAGACATCAAAAATGAAAATAGAATTTAAATAAAAGTTCTGATGGAAAAAATTGGAAGAAGGAATAAATAAATTCAAAGGAACAGAAGATAGAAAACCTTGCTCAAGTAATAAATGAAAAATAGAATGAAATAATCACAATTGATCTTATCACAAAGAAAAATGGAAATACGAAGAGGAAATGAAATTATTAGAACCTACATTATATGTCAACAAAATCGAATGCTAAAGTGAAAAAGATAAATATTTAGAATAATATTTAATAACCAGAATAACAGAAAAAAGAATTAGTTTAACCCAAATTTAGAAAGAGAAATTGAATAAGCCATAAACAAAGTTCCAAAGCAGGGAAAAAAAACAGTACAAGGTAGATTCACAAGTGAATTCTACAAAACATTTGAAGAACAGTTAATTCCAATATTACAAAAGTTGTTGGCAAAAAATAGACAAAGGGATGATTCTATCATACTTTTGTAGAACTATAAAAATAATAAGAAAACTCATATGGAATTGGGATGGATTCAGAAACACAGAAACACTTTCATGAAGTGAAGCAGAATGAATTAAACAGAACCAGGAAAACAATTTACAAAATGACTGTGAGATTATAAAGGAAAGCAACTTTAAATAATTAAAAATTCTTAATTCTTCCTACCTCTTGACAGAGAGGTGCTAGACTAGACGTGTAGAATGAGAATGTTTTCAGATAGGCAATTTATAGATATGTTTTCTATAAATATCCTTATTTGTTGCAAGAGAGGGTGTTGATTTGGGTGGGAGAGAAGAATTGTGGAGGGAAGAAAGGTAATAATAATGATCCCCTTCCCCCCAAAAAAGAGGAAAAGAGCATTAATAGCATACTTACATAATACATATAAGAGTCCAGAAATTAAGAGTCACAGATAAGCATGATAGTATTGGAATTACCATATTACATTTATTGTATTTTTTTAAAAAGCTACAGATAACTGAGATTCATGGTTTCTTTCACAACGTTTTTCTGTTCTTTATAAATAGAAATGATCAAGTTGATGTCTGTTAAGTTCATAATTTTTAAAAAATCATTGTGAACCTCCTTTTCTTTGAGGCCTTTATTTCCCTTGCTGCCAAGGCCATAGTCCACCAGCATATGATCAAACTGAAATTAACATTCCTCCAACTCTTTTCCTGGTAGGGGAGCATACCATGGAAGCAGTCCTTACACCTTCGGCTTGACAAATGTAGGAGCATTCAAGCCAAGAATTCCCAGTGGATCAAGTTGCCAAGCAGTGAAGTTTCATTTCTTTGTACCTTTTCTCTAGAGGCTGTTGGGTAACAAGAATAGTCAATCCTCATTTTCTTAGTAACATGTTTAAAATTTAGACCAGTGTTTGCACCCTTTGGGTTCTCATTTCTGCTTAACTGAATTCAAGAGCATTTGGAGAAATGTTTCTTGGAATGATTTTTTGGAGCTTAAGTAATAATTAACAGTGGGTTTGTGATTTGTTTTGTTTTGGTTTTTAAAGAAAATCAGGTGGGTTGGAAATGAATGCCTTGAAATTAGTTCTCAGAGAACTGGTGCTGAATGCTCTTAAATTTCTAGTCATCATTCTCACCTTCTGTCCTAATTTCCTGTGCCAGGGCTCTTCACTGCCAGAATTACACGTCTAATTAGCCCTCTCATTCTGTCAAATGCCCTTCTACATAGAACTCTTGGGCGAGTCATCTCTAGGCTGAACATTAAAATCAGTTTCCTTTGCAAAATGCCCAAATCTCAAATTTCTAAGAAAAATATTCTCTTCAGAGAATTGTATCAGAATTTCTTTCAGCAGTGAGGGCATGGGTAGGCGAAATTTCAATTTCAAATGAAGATATATTCTTTCTGTAATTGGTACCAGATTCTCCTAGAAATTGGCTATCTTCTTACTAAGTGATTTACTAACCTTCTTCTTTTGTCATTATCAGACAATGTGTCCAGATGTTTTCCGTGGCCCGTGGGGAGGAAGCCAATGTCGAGATTCTCCGGTGCAAACAATCAGGAAATGCGACTGCACTTCAGGTTAGATTGGTTTGGGGGGAATCAGAGAGAGAGAGGAAAATCCAATTGGAGAGTAGAAATTGGAGGAAAGATCCACTTATGAGTGTAAAATCGAATGGAAAAATAGACAAGGAGACCAAGCTAGAAATTGACTTTTCATTAAGGCAACATGGCAGAGTACATAGATAAAGGGCCAGCTCTGTAATCAGGAAAACCTCGGCTAGAATCCTGCCTCGGGAGGAGAGCTCAGCTAGTGGAACAGTGGATAGAGCACGGGCCCTGGAGTCAGGAGGACCTGAGTTCAAGTTCGACCTCAGACACTTGACACTTACTAACTGTGTGACCCTGGGCAAGTCACTTAATCCCATTGCCTAGCCAAAAAAAAGAATCCTGACACTGACTAGCTTTGTGACTATATAGACCAGTCATTTAAAGACTCAGCACCCCCAGGCAATTCTCCAAGCCTTTATGTTTCGGACTTGTTGCCAATCTCTGTTAGTTAATTGAGTTTCCAACACTGATTACTCCTCATGCTGATAAAATCACAGGCCTAGGTCAAAAAACATCCCTTAACTGTATATCTATGTGTTCTCTTGTGAAAATTGTAGTATCAAAGCTCCTACTTTTTTTCGGAAAAGAAATAAGTCAGTTAAGTTTATGATATAACAATATTGGGTATTTAGAGTACATAAACTGTGAAATGACATTCTCTATTAGCTGTTGCTCTGTTATTAATTTTAAGAGAAAAATGGATGTATCTGGGATTATCAAATAATTGCTAGTGAGGGAAGAGGAAAAAAAAACTAGTAAAAACGTCAACATTCCAGCATTCTCTGTTCAAGAAGATCCCAGAGGATACCAGAATGCCAACTAGAATTGAGAGCATCTGTCAGAACAGCAGGTTTTCTTAAAAGCTGCTGACATGTCCTACAAACATTCGAAAAACATACTCACAAGAAATAATTCTACATTTAAATCATGTTTTCTGCCTTCTTAACCCATTCTCTTTCTCACAGCAGAGGAAGGCATAAAAATAACACCATCCAGTCTTTGTTGATTGTCTAGTCCTGTCATATATTTGCATCCAAAGATGCTGTACTTTTGAATAGTTACCCCCCAATTACTTTCTTGGGAAAGAACTGAGATACTACAACTAAAGGAATATTTGAGAGGCTCAGCGCCTCGGAAGGTTGAGGGCTATCATTCAGCATATTAAAGCAGAAAAGACAATTCCAAAAGTAAGTCTTAAAAGATAGCTTCAGAAGGAAGAAAATTCTTAGTAATTTTATTACTAATCACTGAAACTTGGTGGTATAGGATATATGACTATATTATGGCTCTAAAATAGAGTACCTAAGTTGAAAAGAACAGAATAAGGAGTGAAATAGAATAGCATCATACATTAAGAAGATACTCTAAGGATATCTAGGAAGTGGATTTGGGTAGCATTGTGGAAAGAATTTCAGCTGAAGAAGAAACATAAGCAATACTGCCAAGGCAGGGCACCAGGACGGGCAGAGATCCTAAATGAACTAGCTCTAGGTGCAGGAATGGAAATATAAGCAATATTATCATGGGAGTTTGCTACAAACCACCAGGACAGAAGGAAGAAGCAGTTTTGAAAACATCACAAACCAGGAGCAGAGGCATGATAGTAGTGAAGGGGAACTTTATCCAGACCTTTGCTAGAGCTCTCCCTCATCAAAGCAGATGAGGAATTCTTGGCTTTCCTTAATGACAATTTGATTCTTTAAAACCATATTCAAACAAAGAATGAAATGATGAGGGGATTTGCTATTCTGGACCTGATTCAGATCAGTAAGGAGGAAGTGATTGCTGAAGTAGAAATAGCAAACACCTTCAGAGGAAGTGACCACTCTGTCTTAGAATCATGATAATAATTATCATAACATCTATATGGTGCCTTCAGTTTTTAAAAGAGAAGAAAATCAAGCATAGTCTAAGGTTTAGAGCAGGGGGTTTAACTGCAGCACTTCCTTTGGAGCCAAAGAATACATGCCATTTAGCAAGAGGCCAGAACACCTGTATCTGTCACCATAGAGCCAAAGCACATTTACTTGGCTCCATTAGAAATGCTCTCATTCAGCCTGCCTCACTATACCTGTAACCTGTATTTGAGGACAGCAGATTTCAAAGAGTGCAGAGAGCGAATAAGGTGAAACCATGGCTAAAATTCTCTAGAGAATGCTGGCCAAGAAAGATTGGAAGCATTCAAGAGGAGGGCAGAGTCAAGATGGCAAAGTAAGAGGAAGCAACTGAGCCTACCTCACCTCTGCTGCTTCTCTACACTGATCTAGAAAATGTGCCAGACCAAATGCTGATTGGGAAAGCCAAGAAAAAGTCACGGTGAGTCATTTTTTCAGTCTAGAGCAGTTTAGGGAAAGATTCAGTGAGGTCTGTAGACATTGGGAACAGAAACTGGCCAGGAACATGCACAGCACAGAGCATTCTAGGGCACAGGGATAAAAAGAGGGCCAAGGCAGGGCACCAGAACGGGCAGAGATCCTAAATGAACTAGCTCTTGGTGCAGGAATGGATACCATCCGGCAGCTGTCACACATTACCCAGTTCTGTGTCACAGATCCAGGGCAGAGAGGAGAGGAGGTTGCAAGCATGGGCCCTAGCTGTCTACTGAACATTGCAGCCCCTAGATACCTCTAAGGAATTAAAAAAGGAACAAGCACTTTAAGGAGAAGAAAGTATCTGAAAAAGGGGAGAGAGGGGTCTTCCCTTCATGAAGATTACAACCTCAAAGGTCAAGTCTGATGGCCACATAATGAAGTGTAAATCACATTGGACTAGAATCAGGAGTCGTGGAGAGAACCATAGGCGGAAAGACTGAGCTAAGGGAGCATCCTTAAGGACAGGCACCAGACACCAGCATGAAAGGAGTGCCTAGAGAGAGCTAACGGAGGTCTGAGAGAGGCATTAGAAGATTACATTAAGACCTAGCTAGAAACAGAATAGAAAATCGGCTACTATGTTGCCAAATAAAAAGCAACAAAAAAAGAAACAAGTGGAAAAGAATCTGGAACTCAAAAGCATATTGGAAATACTGTAATTTTCAGTGTAACTTCCCTTACTCCTTTACCTAATTCAAAACAAAAGTCAAAAGACTAAGGGTTCAATGCAGCACAAAGAACAAAATAAATAATTCAGAATCTATCAAAAAGTTTATTACAGAGGTTTGAGAATTAAAGAAATCAATGGGAAAATAGTACCCCTAAAAAAAGTCCCACTCAACAAAATGCAAGTTGGTTGAAACATAAAACAGAAAGTTTTGCATATCATTAATATACTGAAAAACAGAACAGTTGTATCAAGGAAAATGACAAACTCTAGCTTCCCTGCAAGCTCAATTAGCAACCAGCAGAGCCAAATAAAATTGGTAATTATTGGCTCAAATACTGCACAGAAGGGCATAAATTAGTAGCAAAGCACTTTACCTCTGAGAAGCAAGTTTGCGGCTACTATTCTTAACAAAAGGCATTAGATATTTGCTATCAACAATGAGAATGCACAGCAACCCCTCCAAATAGAGGCCAGTTATGTGTTCATGTACTTTATGCAAAGTATTCACAATTTATAAGAAAACAACTTTGAGGATTAGGAGCAAAAACAGTGAGCCAAAAAGTCCCAGGGATATAAAGAGTAACTTATTATCTATTTCGTAATTATTTTGCAAACTTCCCCAAAGCTCTGTAGTATTTATGCAGCCTTTGTTTATTATTGCAAAGCCTTCAACTCACAGTTTATTCACGTACTGCAAATGTAGAATATAAAACCCAGAGCTGTGAGAACACTAGTATATTTGATGTCCAAGTGGAAAACTGTATTCTATTTAAAGCAAGCCACCAATAGAATAATACCAAGAACAAACTGATATCAAATATGGCTTTTTTTCAGGGAGACAGTTTAAGCCCATTGTGATTTTGTTTAGCTTTAAATTCATTATCATCTCTTCTAAATAGGAAGGAGGGCTTCCAACTCAAACAGGGAATCAAATAAAAGTATCTTGAGTTAATCATGCTGTAAATGGATGACATCAATTTATATGGCTCCACTAAAAAACACATTAATCAGATCCTTCATATTATGGAACAACAACAACAATAACTAACATATATAAAGTACTTTATTGCAAAACGCTTCATATACGGTATATCATTTCATTTGATCCTCACAACAATCCTGTGACTCAACTCTCCTCTGTTCCTGGTCTGGCACTGTATATGTAACTCAATTCTAGTAAAGAGCAAGGTCTTGGTTTGCTGTTCTACGTTATGGCTCCTCCTCACTATTTTCTCCTTTGGTCATTGGTTCCATGACTTCCGGGTCCAAAGATCTTTCTCCCCAGGCATTTCACTGAATCACTCCCCTGCTGGTTCATTGTTCTTGTCCGGCTTGAGCTGCTTCTCTGCAGGGACTATGTGGATGCCACAGTCTTCAGTTCAATCACTTCTTTAGGTCTTTGTAAGCTCTGAAATCTTCATATGGCAATAGCTCCTTCCTTCTTGTGGGGCCATATGAATGCAGTGATCTTGAGTTCAGACCTTTCTCCAAGACTGCATATGGTTCCTCATCTTTGTCTCATTGGCAGCTCCATCTTCTCATTCACAAAAGGCTCCGATTGCCTTTCTTCAAATACTGCTATTTCTTTTTGTGTTCTTCCGTACCATCAACTAAAAACAGAAACCTCCTTGGACAACTCTGTCACTTGGCAACTGCTCCAAGACCTTCCTTCTTCAGTGGCTCACCACTGCCTACAGCATAAAATAAATAAAGTCCTTAGTCTGGACTTCTAGGCCCTCCACCATCTTTTTCAACCTTATTTCATACTACTACTTTAATATAATCTACTTCCAAGCCAAACTGGACTATTCCCCATTTCCCAAATGGCAAATTTGGGAAATGAAGGCATTTCTCTGCCCTCACTTCAACCTTCATATATTTGCATAGACTATTCTCCCTCAACCTTTGCCCATAGTTGGAATGGCCTT